GAATGAAAAAGTGATTAAATAAAAATGAAACAGCTTTCTTCTCCTCTTTTAATGTCAAATATAAAATGCCTGTAACCATCATGGTGGTGAAATTAAAATGTTTAATTTCCACATATTTGTGATAATGAATGTCTATTTTAAGGTAGGAATTAACTGCTGATTAAAACACATCTGATATATGTTACACAATCTTTCTAAATGTGTCCATGTTACAAATAAAGTTGTTTGAAAATAGCTTCAACTTTCCACAAGATGGCACCAGAGGCAAACTCATGGTTTGTTTCTATCGAAGCAAATCCAACCAGTACAATTACATTTTATTGATCATTTTGTACAAAAAGTGGGGGTATTTTTTAAAAATATTTATTTGAAACACATTTGAACTTTTTGGGCATATGGTTTTAAAGCTGTAAGAGACTTTGAATCTATCAGATTACCGAAGAGAAGTAAGCACATTTTAATGTATTTTTCCTTCTACAATCTGTGTTGTCCTGTAATTTGTGTCCAGGCGTTTTAAAAGTGAGATTCCAGGAACTAAACTGGTTTCATCATATTACATTTCCTAGTTTTGAAATGGTCTATAATGCCAAGAATATAATACAGCTTAACTGCAAACATCTTGTGATCAAGAAAGAGGAACACACAAAAAGCGTTTTTGTTGCAAATGTTTTTCTCTACATCTTCCATTCCTGTACTGAGCTGTGTCCCTGCATAAGCCTCACCGTGTCATTGTTTATGTGGGGTGGACCTTGAAGGCTCAACATCTTGAGGAAACAATGTGCGAGAGGCCCATCCAGAGAGAAAACGAGAGAGAGAGAGAAAGGATTATGTGATTCCAGTTCCTTACTGAGCTACACCCACGTTCATAAAACATTCAAGGGCCCCGCAGTCTGACAGCACACCAGATGTATTTGAAGGCTGTGAGAAAGATCATCTGTGTCTTATCAAAGTTAATATCAAGACCATATTTATTTTAATTATTCATCAACAGAAATGCGTTGCTCAAGGGCCGTGCCACTCCGGTTCCCTCAGAGAGAGACATGTCAGCGGCCAGTGATGTTTGATGTCAGAGATCAAGAAGTGAATCCTGTAGTCTTTGGCCTCATCTCAGATAGTGTTGGTCCATTATGTGAGGGTTTTTCTTTATCCCTTTGACACTCACCACTCTCTTTACCAACAAGTGGGTGAGGAAATATTTGTGCCCTGCAGCTGCGATTGTTCAAAGAGCGATTATCTGTATCTGCAATAAGCTCTTAAGTGCTGTGCTCAGTCAAACATCCAGTTGACAATCATACAACTGACTGTTTTTATCTGCTGCTTCCGGATTTTACTAAAGTGAAAGTTTTTTTATAGAACCAACCATGATATAACCTTTGCATTAATATTTATATGACCAGAAAAAAAATCATTGTTGGTACCATTTTCTAATAAGTTATGCTTTATAAAAGGTTTGTCATTTGTAAGTTATAGCTGTATTAATGCATTTACCAGTGCTTTATATATCAGCTATAAGCCAGCAATATATGAGCAACCTTTGGGTTTCCAGGTTGTAAAAAACAAAACCTGGGGCAGGTTTTAATCCCCCGGCAGGATACGTATCCTTTTAGCTCTTAAACCTGCAGTAGTTGATTTGTAGCCACTAGGGGGCAGTGAAAACAAGCTGTGAACACAAAACAAACATATCACCTTTTATATTGACAGGGCACACATGTTAGCAAACAGTTGCCTATTTACACATCTAGCAGAATTGAAGCAACATTAGCATTTATCTTATTTACGCTCTGTTTGCTTAAAGCGAACTGTAGTAGCTAACCTTGTGTGCCGTTTGGTAGAAAACACCATTTATAGTACGTACGAAGTTGTGATCCATTGTTAATATAAAACATTGATTGTATCTGCTTTTAATTCATTAGAAAGATGACTTATACCTTCTGGAATAAAATGGCGGAGAATGTGGACATTAACGCAGCAACAGATATAACTATAGCCTTGATGTATATGTAACGGAAAACCAACATTTATAACTGTATTATATTAGATAAAAAAGATAAGCACCATGAAGTTGCAATTGTTCACATTAATGGCTTATAACTGATCTATAATCTGTAGAGGGACAACAGATGTACATTTGCTGAAGTACTTTTAATTGTGTGCTGCAAAAATAAGCAAATAAAATATGTACAAGGCATTAGTAAATTATTCATCAACCAATAATAAAGCCATTAGTTACAACATTGTAAAAGGTGAGTGAACAGAAACTGGCACCTTTATGTTTCATGTCCATACTGTCTGATAACAGTCTGATTAATGTTATAGATGCTAAACCCTGAATAATTACCAATGCACATTCACTGATAATTAAGTTCCTGTATTGTATCCCATTTTCCTTTGAGGAATTATTCATCTTATCTATGTAAAGCAACCAACACACAGGCTCTGTGTCATTTAACTTCAAGTGGCCATGCAGTTTTAACAGACACAGTAACTTGACACTGACTGTCAAGTGCTGAGAAGTGATTGTGATTGTCACAAAGCGGCTCAGGGGCCTGTGTTGTGGTGTCAATTTTACACATACATTATTGTAAGCATCAGGACAGAGCCACTGACCCACAGTGAGAGCATTATGTCGGCTAGGAGATTACACACTAATTATGAACAGCATCAACAGATGACAGCCTGCACTTATTGTTGCTTTCCTCCCGCCCGTATGCCGTCATACACTTGTCTCTCAGGTGGGGTCATTTGGGGCTGCGTGAGCCTCGGCTCCATTAAAGTGACAGCGAAGGTGAAGAGGGACGAACACTCAGACACGTCACTGCTGGCAGCAGACCAGAAAACCACTTTATCTCCCTTGTTGTTATTCTACGGTCCACTGAGGCTGAAATAGCATGAATAATGCTTGTTTATCAGTGAATGTGGAGGGTGTGTAGGTCTCACAGGTGGATATCAGCTCAAGAGATGGGGAATAGGCTGCATGATGTAAACAGTAGATTAAAGGGGCAACTCGCTTATGTTACACATGCTGTTGAGGTCGAGTAATTCATCGCCAAGAGAACTTCTCCGCCAGTGAAAAACAACTAAAGTCTTCTGTGGCTCTGAGGGTTGTTTCGCCAAGTCCGATGACGTCATAGTGATGTCATCAGGGGGTTTGGAGAGTATTAAGTAGAAAATACAAACCCTAACCCTTGCGTTGTGGAATTTGAAAGACATGTTTAGTTCCCAGGAAAGCTCTGCCAATAAGGTGGTCCAGAATTGCATTATGGGAAATGTGGGATACTTATAGACCCCAGCATTTATAAATGACAGATTTATTAATGGATATTAATTAATTTACTAATGCTTTACAGGTGGGTCAGAAGCCAGGTTCTGTTGCCAGGTTCTTGACAATTCATTAATAAATTCTTGTGTTTGTTTTTCATTTTTCTAGTAAGCATCACGTCTGCAGTAATAAAGGTTAATAGGTAATTTATTAATTTACAATAATCCATCTTACTGATGAATTAAAGAGCTAAATAAACAAAGCGTCATGTGTCATACTGAAGGACAAACGCCAGAAAAAGGGATTTCGAAACTTTCTAAAAGTTATTGATATGAATGGATTATAACGGATCTATTATTAACCATTAATAAAGTCATTAGTTATAAAGTGTTGTAAGTGATACCAATAGGTCTCTTGTGAGAAAGAAAAGTTTCACTCTAGTAACCCTTAAAAAATGTAACTCCTCTCTTATTCAACTTTTGGAAAAACAAATGTCTAATAAACCAAAATTTTAGATATATTAGATTCATAATATTCAAGATAAACAGTTTTTACATGTGTTGTAGGACCTTACCCACCACTGAGGACATAAAGGTCTTACTCTCAGGATTGTTTCAGAGAATTTGGAGGTTTGAATTTTAAATTATGAGGGTTTTTAAATTCTGGATCAGATGTTTTTTTTTAAGTCAAAATCCTTCAATTGGACTATTTTAAGCCAGAAAGTATCTCTCCGCCAGAATTATATTACTGCCATTGTGTGGAAGGATATGAAACAGCTTAAGTTAATCATATAGGGAGATGAAATTTGCCAAATATATAGACCTACTGTAGCAGATTTCTTTGCACTACATTAATCACAATAAGATAACACACAAAAAAGTAAATAAAAAAATAACAGCAAGCAGGTGGGCATAATAGAAAGCTAAAACAAAAATACCAGGAACAAACAACAATAACAAGCAACAAGATCTGCACAACAAAAAGGGCATATGATTTCATCCATATACCCGCAGTGTTAATTCACATACCCTCTGAACAAGCGGACAAAGCCAAATAATCAAATAAGGCTCAAGGATATTCGATCCCCACTTTCCAATCAGGTCACAAACCAAATGTTTTAAGCAGTCAAGTTCATATAAAGAATGTAGAACAAGTAGATTTTACACATTTCTTTCTTTTAAAGTGGGTGGGCTTAGTCAACTCTTTCCCTTAAAATAAAATCCTGATATTGCCAAATATATGAAACACTAATAAAACAGTGAGCAGTGGGCGGATGAGAGCCTCTTCTGTTTTTTTTTTTTTTTTTGTTTGTTTGTTTTTTTACCCTCCCGAGCTCGGACTGTGGAGGATAACCAAGGAAAATGTTTGAAGGCGTGTTGTTGTAGTCGAGCCTGCGTGCATGGTCCCTGTGGCAGGAGGACGGTCGCCATCTCTGGGTAAACACTGTAACCGTATCACGCAGTTGATATTGTAGCGTGTGGACTTGAAGCCGGAGCTGTACAGTAGCAGGCAGCAGTCAGCAGCAGCAGTCAGCAGCAGCAGCAGCGGGCAGCAGGCAGCAGGCGGGGGTGCTATGCTGCCTGCAACAACCCACAGCGGACGCACACCACTTCAACGCAGGACTGACGCTTTTGTTTGTCTCCTGCACATCGGACTGTCACCTCAGATGTTGGCCGCTTCTTCTTCTTCCTCCTCCTCTTCTTCCTCCTCTCCTCGCTGACATTTCGTCTTGTTTGTAAGCTCCGGATGGGGGTGGAGGTGGTGGGGTGGGGAGGAGGTTGAAACGGGACTGCATGCTTCGAATAGAAATGGGATTTTTAATGTTGCACACAGCGGACGCTCTTGCCTGTGCGCAGCCGGGGGGACTGTAGTACGCTTTTTTGGGGGGTGGGGGGTAATGTTTGCCAAGGAATAAAAAAAAAAACAAAAAAAAAAAACGGTGTAGCCGAAGGTGCATAACATCTCGTTTCCATGGACAACACGTCCATAATAACACAGGTTGCAAATCCGAAAGAGGAGGAGAGCATTTCTTCAAGTCAAGATAAAGGTAAGGCGCGCAGAAATGTCACACACACACATACACACATATATATAAACGGTTGTTGTTTTCATTTTGACAAATAAATAAATAAATTTTGCAGCCGCAGTTTATTTACATTGCTCGGTTGCCAAATGTGATCTGCAGCCCTCAGTGCAGAGAGGATACTGGGCTCCGGACTGCAACAGCAAAGCCTGAGTATCGACGGAAAACCTCCATTGTTCAGCTGAACAGAGAAACATTAAGAGCCCTCAGCCAGCCTGTCAATATATATCATGTTGGGCTGTAACTTTATTGCCAGGACCTTTATTTTTTATGGCAAACTAGACCTTATTTTAAAACTGCACACATTTTGCGATTTAAAAGATGTGATATAGCCTATGTATTTTTGTTGTAATCTGTGTGGAGTGAGCTGGGTTTACTACAGGGGGCGGGTACTCTACTCCTTTCCTTGCACTGGCGACATCCATGTATGCATCACTGACACTGTAAAATGCTTGGTGTACTACTAATAACAAATACCACCGATGACCAGGGGTAAAAAAAAATCAAACCGTTTTAGCTGCTGTACTTGAAGAAAAACACACATTTTTAATAATTTAAGTAAGTATATATGTAGTAGTGCATTTGGAAGTACCTTTATTGGTGTTTTGGAAGGTGTGTTTACACATTTATTAACAGAAACCCCAGTGGTAATATTGGAAACACGTTTATTTTGCACATTTCTTCATCTTAGAATAAAACTACCTCAATTAAGCAACAATGGCAATAAATAAATGTATTGTTTATCAGCTCCTTTGTACGGTATTTGATGATAATAAAACAGTTATCATCACATAACCGACAGTGAATGTTTACATGGTCAGAAATGTCCGCTCCCAGCTGTGTAAAAAGTGCCTGAAAACAAGAGCTCAACAGCTGCTCTACAGATTACCGTAGAGGCTGAACGAAAAACACATTTTCTCTCTTGTTGTTTTGCACAAGAGTCGCCACTTCACCATGTGGTGATGACATCAACGACAAATCCCCCTCATGAGTCAGGAGCTTTTCAGTTTTCATTAACTTTCAGAGGGGTTTTCACTAGTCTGTGCGGGCCAGTGACTCTGTGTTGGATTCAGATTTGAGTCCACACACAGGAAAATGAGGCTGTGGAGTACTGTGTACACACACACGTGGGATACACAGGTGTCCCTGGGAGATCACAGCAGGAGGGCATGGTTGTTTGGAGCTCAGGGCCCTGACATTCCCCCCACTAGCACCCATTCCACGGAGCCACAGGGTGCCTGCAGGCCAGAGGGACCACAGCTTCCTGCTACACCCAGTGCTCTGTTGGAGAAAAAGGTCACCTTCCTGCATCACCTGCTGCTGAGCAGCACTGACATACATAAACCTCTCTGACTCACTGACCTCTTAGCTGGTGGTCGAGAAATGAAGAGAGCAGAAGTGAGACTTTTGGCTTTTCACTACTATTTTCACAACTCTTATTTGGTTGGAATCGACCTGCATGATCATAGCAACCAGATCAATTGTGATTTATGGTCCACTGCACGTTTTTTGCTCCTCTGCGTGCTCTAATCTGGTGGCGCCGCCTTCATAATTAAAACCATCATAAACAAATCAATGAAAACAATCGCTAACAGCAAACATTCAGCTCCGTCACTGACTGCGCCGCAGCAGAAAAAGTCATATCATTCAGGAAAGAAACCGTTTTCCCTTTTTAGCACATTTTTAATCACTTGTACAGAATTCCCACACTTTCTTGTCTGCAACATCCTGCTTGTCTTGAACAGTAAATCCCAGATGACATGTGGAATCCGACAATTAATCTGGTAGGATAAAATCCAGGGTCAGTCGCTGACCAGAGAAGACACAACGCATGCACACACACACACACACACACACACACACACACACACACACACACACACACACACAGTGAGGCTCCTCAAACGGCTGCTGTGTGACACACACAAAGTATCACCAGGGAGCTTCCTGAATGGAGTCCCTGCCCTTCACTACTGGCTTTGTCAAAGCAGACAACAAACAGCTCTTGTTGTCCAGGACAGTTACTCTCTGACCTGCTAGGGCTGCACCGAAGCCACACACACACACACACACACACACACACACATACACACTTACATGCTGAATATTTCAGGGCACGGGCAGGCTATTTTCAGAGTCCTATCAGTTTCACTCCAAGCAAAGACGTAGTAACTCATTAGAGCCACATTTCTTTAGACATTTGGTCAGGTGGAGATTATATCTTTATGCATTATGGATTATGTTAAATGAGGTGAGGGTTAGAATCATAATGTGGGTGGTTTCTTTCTTCAGATAGAGGACATGTATTGGTACAAAGTCAACCATGCCACACTTTTGGAGGATATACAAGGCTATTTGTTGAACTAAAAAGCCAGTGCTGGATGTGAGCTTTATCAAACAGATAGTTGTGAACGCATTTAGACTGTTTGTTTTATCATAATGTCGTTTTTATTAGATAAAACAGGAATGTTGTGCTAATTTTAAGCCAGATTTTGAACAGAAACCAGCGCAGAAGCACATAGGAGGCTGAGAAAATAGCGTTTCCTCTTTCAAAACCCAACTGAGGCTTTTCATTTGGCAGCCGTTTACTTGTCAGGATCTGATGCAATGAAATGTAATGACTGGACTAACAATGTGCAGGGAGTCACAGGCCGGCCAGCCTAAGATTCACTCCACGAATCCCTGAGGCTTTGCTCTGATAACCTCACAGTCCGACAGGTATCAATGGACGAGCCGTTAACCTTAATCAGATTAGGTCAAATCTGAGTTTAGCTCTTCGCTGCTGCAGTGGGACACTTGGAGCGGTTTTGCACACAGTAACAGTGTTGAATTAAACGATGATTATGATATTAATGATCTCTGTCATTTGGAATTTGCTTTCACACATTTGCAACATTCAGAGAAACAGATTGTGTTTAGTTGCTTGAGTACGCCTAATTAATTTCAAAATAATTCATAGACTCACACACAAACTGTTAATAGACTAATTCTTAATAGCAAAGGCATATTTTGCTTTACATTTATGAGGAATCCTGGAAGATTTTGGACTGTAACATATAACTTGAAATCCACATTTCAGTTAAAAATTGTTTTTCCCTTCACTATTACTCAGCTTCATTAAGGAAGTCATTAAAGCCAGAGTTATTGTGATGTTATTCTTTCAATACTTTCATAAATCATTAAAAAGGGGTCACAAATGTAGGGTTTACATTTTTTTTAAAGGGTTAGTAAATTCCTAATAGCTGTGCACTCTACTTTTTAGGAAAGATTACTCAAGCAAGAGGATCAGTTTTGGACTTTTCATGGGATTTGTTCACAATAAGAAAGATAGATCACTAATCTAAATCAGTGTTGCACAGCAAGTGTGTTTGTCAATGTTCTCTCTTTCATACTGTTTAATAGCTCTGTTGAATTTACCCTGGAGTCTTTGAAAAAACAGTTTGCTTTTTAAAAATCGCTTATTGGAGACAAACAAACTCAAATTATAATTTTGTTTGGTCTGCCCAACTAAGGCTGAGTAATACAGACATAATGTCATTCTCCCCTGTCATTATTCCAGCGGCAGCTTGGGGCTGCAAAGTTGAGACACTAAACTGTACGTTTCACAGAGCATATTAACCATCAGCCTTCTGTGGTCAAGGTACTCCAGTCCTCTCCAGTGAATCTCCCTCATATGAACGAGATATATAATTTCAGTAGAAGCACAGACGAGGAGGAGCAGCAGCAGACGCTGGAAATAATATATATTAATGGCATGTTAAAATGTCATGATTCCCTCAAAGGCTTGTTGGTTAGAAGATCTTGCCAGAGATTACCAGAAAGAACATGAGAAAAAAAACCCGAAGCTGTAATTATATATGGTTCTGGAGAAAAGCCTCTGATTTCATGCACACTTGGCTTTTGAGGTTATTCCTGGAACGCGCCGCTGTACATTAATAAAGTGTTTATGATGTGTGGACCACACCTGCAGGGGTGTGTGCAGCACAGTTAGCGAGGGGAAGCTACTGTGAGTTTTGGCTGCGTTGGAGTCCCTGGCACAACCTGCCACTCTGCTGTGTGCAGCACTTTGCTGTCATGGCCGGACTCAAGTATTGGGTAGAGGAGGATTACAGTTTATTACTTGGTCATAGGCGGTGTAGATTTTAAACGATATATTTGGATACAGTACGTCATTCTCATGCCTTCCACGTCTCTTGAGAGTCACATTGGACGGCTGTGTACGTGGTCAATATTCAGTGCACCCTTCTGACTGAGCAAAAGGCTGGACTCTGAAGTGCAGGTCCTTATTACAGATTTATGAGCCTATTTCAGCCAATGCTGCTCAGAAAAGCTGATTATCTGCACCTCCAGGGAAGTGCTGGAGTGTTAGACACATCTTCATTACTTTAGTCCAATACCATACTGGGCAGCTGATTGGGAAGAGTTGAATGTTTTTTTTCCAAGCCTAAGCTCCTTGACTGATAAGCTTGTTAACTGTATGTGCGGGATCAGGCATGAAGTGGAAGTTGGGAGATTGTAGTAGGCTAATTTATGTATTTTACATTCATTGAATCCCACAACAAGAATGTTGTAATGTTTTTACAGCTGTAAGTAGCAAATTAATGTATTTTTGCAGTGACTTTGTGATGTTGTTACTCTGCATTGTAAGCAACCACAATGGACTGAATTTCACATTATGTATGAGCTCATAACCAGTCAATCACTGATAGTGGCTCCCTTAGGTGTTTGGTGATGTATTTTGATTGGGAATGATGCCTAAAAATCTAAGTTTATGTTCATATCTCCCTGATGATGTCTGTTTTGTGCCTGTAGTTCAATTTCTGAAGAAATAGTGCCAGCAAATTGTTTTAGTATTGCCAAGTGAAAAGGCCATAATATCGACGGTGGTATCAGAGGAATAAGGAATAAATTCATATAGTTAAAGCAAAATTAAAGGAATAGTTTGACATTTTGGAAAATACCTT